TTTGTTGTTCTCCTATTTTGTTGAAGAAAATAAACTTCACAACGTTATTATTATTATTATTATACAGTATTTATAAAGCGCCAACAGTTCGCTCAGCGCTGTACATTACAAAGGGAGACGGAACATGCGACCGTACAATAACAATACAATGTGATACACGAGGGGGTCGAGGGCCCTGCTCCTTCGAGCTTACAATCTAGGAGGGAGGGGATAGTGGTACAGAAGGAGATAGCTGTGGGGGATGGGGTGGTAGGAGGAGGTCGGCAATTAGCAGGGGGTGGGGTAGGCTTCCCTGAAGAGGTAGGTTTTTAGGGTGTGCCTAAAGTAGAGGAGAGTAGGTGATAGTCTGATGGATTGGGGTAGGGAGTTCCAGAGGATGGGTGACGCCCTGGAGAAATCCTGGAGGCGTGCATGGGAGGAGGAGACTAGGGAACTAGAGAGAAGGACGTCTTGTGAGGAGCGGAGTGTGCATGTTGGGTGGTACTTGGATATTAGGTCAGTGATGTTATTTGGGGCAGTATGATGGACAGCTTTGTACGTCAGTGTTAGGATTTTGAATTTGATCCGTTGTGCAATCGGAAGCCAGTGGAGGGATTGGCAGAGGGGGGTGGCGGAAACGGAGCGGTTGGTAAGGTGAATGAGTCTGGCTGCCGTATTCAGGATCAACTGAAGCAGGGGGATAGCCTGTGGCGAGGCAGGCCAGTGAGGAGGGAGTTGCAGCAGTCCAGTCGTGATATGATGAGGGAGTGGATGAGCTGTTTAGTGGTTTCTGGGGTTAGGAACGTGCGGATTTTGGTGATGTGAGGTGGAGTCTGCATGAGTTTGTTAGTGATTGGACTTGGGGCTGGAAGGATAGGTTGGGGTCCAGAATGACAAGTACTCTGGCCTGCGCGGCGAGCCTGATGGTGGCATTGTTGGACGTGATGGAGAAGTCAATGGGGGTGGTGTGCGGGCTGGGGGGAAGACTAGAAGCTCTGTTTTGGAGAGGTTCAGTTTAAGGAAGTGGAGTGATATCCAATCTGATATGTCATTTAGTAGGTTTGTGATTCGGGTGGAGACTGAGGGGTGAGGCGAGGGGTTGAGAGATAGATTTGTGTGTCATCGGCATAGAGGTGATAGTTGAAGCCATGAGTGTATGAGCTGGCCAAGGGAGGAGGTGTAGATGGAGAAGAGAAGGGGCCCAAGGACGGATCCTTGAGGGACCCCAACAGAGGCGGAGTGAGGGGGAGGTGGTAGCGTTATAGGTAACGCTGAAGGAGCGTTGTGATAGGTAGGACGAGAGCCAGGAGAGAGCAGAATCTCTGAGGCCGAGGGAGTGTAGTTTTTTGAGGAGGAGGGGGGTGGTCGACTGTGTCGAAGGTCGAGGAGTAGGAGCACTGAATAGTGGCCATTAGCTTTGGCGGTTAGGTCATTGGAGAGTTTGAGTAAGGAAGTTTCGGTGGAGTGTAGGGGACGGAAGCCGGACTGTAGGGGATCGAGGAGGTTGTTGTCGTTGAGGTGAGAGCTTAGGCGATTGTAGACTAAGCACTCGAGGAGTTTGGATGTGAATGGGAGCAGGGAGATGGGTCTGAGGTTGTTCGGGTCATTGTCACAACATGTGTGGTAACATTTCTACTAAACATATTCAAAGTACTTTTACCAAAACTTTCTGCTGAGTCTGTCTTTTTCCATACTGTGAAATCTCTAGGGTTGGTAGGCCACTGAAAATTCATTTTTCCTATGTGCCAGTTCACATATATGCGGATTTGATGCTGTTTTAACCGCATCCAATCTGCATGACATGTGAAAAAACATTGATTCCTATGGTGTCTGTTCACATATCACCAGTGCACTGCCAGTGCGGATTGAAAGAGTGACGTCTGATTTTCTGAGTAGTGCAGTCCGGTTCAGGTGCAGATTACAGGCTATTGTTTCTATGGGAACCATTCCTAAACTGCACATGTCCTCTGTTGTGAACAGGATAAAATCGTGACCTAAACGTGACCTGAACCGCTGAACTACTGTATCAATTAGCTGTGAAACCTGAGCTTCAATCTGTGCCGCACATGTGTGAATCACTGCTGATTCAAATGACTCAAATGTAACCTGACAACCAGGGTGGATTTGACTTAAATCAAGTTGATTAAATCACTAGTGAAAAGGCTTAATTTTAAATCCTATAATTTTTAAAGAGCAACTGTCATCTCTGTCCTGCAGCGGCTCCTCCTCTGACCCGCTGTTGACTCACCTACAGCCCCATTCACTTTAGTGGGACGGCTGGTAATGCAGAAGTGACACAACAAGGTGAGGGACTTGGCGGCAGCAGGTGAGTGGATGCCCGCTAACTGGCGCTGCCATGATGGATTTAAAATGACAGGTGCTCTTTAAATGTAAGGAATCCGACTCATTCTTGCTGGTAGTTGCAAACCAAATGAAGGTTTCCTTTTTAGAATAAGCTGTTAGGCTAGTAAAACCGCGATATCGGAACCGATAATAATGGGTTAATCACACATACAGTATCTCAACAGAAGTGAGTCCACCCATCACATTTTTTGTAAATATTTTATTCTATCTGTTCATGTGACAACTCTGAAGGAATGACATTTTGTACAATGTAAAGTAGTGAGTGTACAGCTTGAATAACAGTGTAAATTTGCTGTCCCCTCAAAACAACTCCACAAACAGCCATTAATGTCTAAACCACTGGCAACAAAAGTGAGTACACCCCTAACTGAAAATGTCCAAATTGGGCCCAATTAGCCATTTTCCCTCCCCAGTGTCATGTGACTCATTAGTGTTACAAGGTCTCAGGTGTGAATGGGGAGCAGGTGTGTTAAATTTGGTGTGATCGCTCTCTCTCTTACTGGTCACTGGAAGTTCAACATGGCACCTCATGGCAAAAAACTGAGGATCTGAAAAAAGAATTGTTGCTCTACATAAAGATGGCCTAGGCTATAAGAAAATTGCCAAGACCCTGAAACTGAGCTGCAGTACAGTGGCCAAGACCATACAGTTTTTTAACAGGACAGGTTCCACTCAGAACAGGCCTCGCCATGGTTGACCAAAAGTTTAGTGCACATGCTCGGCGTCCTATCCAGAGGTTGTCTTTGAGAAATAGACGTATGAGTGCTGCCAGCATTGCTGCAGAGGTTGACGGGGGGGGGGGGGGGGGGGGGTCAGCCTCTCAGTGCTCAGACCATACGCTGCACACTGCATCAAATTGGTCTACATGGCTGTCGTCCCAGAAGGAAGCCTCTTCTAAAGATTATGCACAAGAAAGCCTGCGAACAGTTTGCTGAAGACAAGCAGACTAAGGACATGGATTACTGGAATGTTCTGTGGTCTGATGAGACCAAGATAAACTTATTTGGCTCATATGATGTCAAACATGTGTGGCGGCAACCAGATGAGGAATACAAAGACAAGTTTGTCTTGCCTACAGTCAGGCATGGTGGTGGGAGTGTCTTGGTCTGGGACTTCATGAGTGCTGCTGGCACTGGGGAGCTACAGTTCATTGAGGGAACCATGAATGCCAACATGTACTCTGACATACTGAAGCAGAAGATGATCCCCTCCCTTCGGAGACTGGGCCGCAGGGCAGAATTCTATAACATAACGACCCCAAACACACCTCCAAGACGACCACTGCCTCGCTAAAGAAGCTCAGGGTAAAAGTGATGGACTGGTCAAGCATGTCTCCAGACCTAAACCCTATTGTGCATCTGTGAGGCATCCTCAAACGGAAGGTGGAGGAGCGCAAGGTCTCAAACATCCTCCAGCTCCGTGATGTCGTCATGGAGGAGTGGAGGGGAGGACTCCAGTGGCAACCTGTGAAGCTCTGGTAAACTCCATGCCCATGAGGGTTAAGGCAGTGCTGGAAAATAATGGTGGCCACACAAAATATTGACACTTTGGGCCCAATTTGGACATGTTCACTTAGGGGTGTACTCACTTTTGTTGCCAGCGGTTTAGACATTGTCTGTGTGTTGAGTTATTTTGAGGGGACAGCAAATTTACACGGTTATACAAGCTGTACACTCACTACTTTACATTGTAGCAAAGTGTCTTTTTTGTTTAGTATTGTCACATGAAAAGGGATAATAAAATATTTACAAAAATGTGAGGGTTGTACTCACTTCTGTGAGATACTGTAGCTGGAGAACTACTCAAATTCTTGTATTCACACAATTTCACAGTAACCATGAGAAAAAACACATCAATGCAGTGCATGCCATCTATGTAAATATTGCAAAATATACAGCCTCATGCTACATAACTAAGCTCCATTTCTTGCTGAATAAACACATTTATTGTATCTTAAATAGAAAAATATATCTTAGATTTTTTTTTTTTTTACTCCAAAAGCATTTTTATTAAAATTTTATATAAAAATAAAAAAATCCTTATTAAATTAAAAAGTGTGTGGGGGTTTTTTTTTTTTTTTTTTTTTTTAAATCGATTTTTATCTACCCTGTTGAAAACGTAGCAATGGTCTGGGATAAATTAAATCCCATCTATGAGCAATGTAACCCAACGCACACACTCGTTAAAACCCCCTTTTTACTCACCTGTCTGCTGTCATGTGACCCTTGTCAGCCCCTCTTCTGTGAGTTGACTGGTGGTTTAGTGCTAATGCCTGATGCGGACTGGCTCCTTTATTGGTGACATCACACCTCTGCAGTCTTCTGGAACTTCTGTGAACCCTGCTGATGCACACCCAGATAGTGAAGTAGGTACCTGAAGGATCCCTTCACCTTCGCAGTCCAGAAGAGAGATTACTTGGGATGCATAGTGTTATGTGACTGTGGTTATAGGTAAGTAAAAGGTGCTTTTAGAAACTAACGTGACAATTGGAGGGGGAAATTGGTTCTCTGAGATGGTCTTAAAAGATGCACAAGTATGTGAATGGCACCAGAGTTATGTATTCCATGAGAAAACAAGTCTCCTTTTACTGAAGCATTATTTTTTGTCTTTCTGTGTGCATTGACATTATTAATTCAGTTTGGATACTGCAATGATGACACAGATTTTTTCTTTTTAGGCTGGCAGTGATGGGGAGAGCATTGGAAACTGCCCATTCTCCCAGAGACTTTTTATGATCTTGTGGCTGAAGGGAGTGAGTGGTGTTCAATGTCACAACTGTTGACTTAAAGAGGTAAGAGAAGGTAAAATTCAAAGTTTTAAAGTGCTGACAGGATCTTGTGCTGATGCTTTGTTGTAGTGATTTTAGGTTAATGGTTTTTTTTTTTTTTAATAAATTGTTGGCTTTTTAGTCAACTGAAAATTGATGGTGGCCGGTGTGGTATGGTTAAGTGAAAGGACAAAGCGCTTCTTGTGATAAGTTATTGCTCCTTCAATTTTCCTCATAGATATAAGAATTAGGAAGTAACCATTAGTTTTGGCAAATATAGCCTTTTAGGCCAGTCAGATGTCTGTTGTATTTTGCCTATATTAATGCGTTTCATGCTTGTCCTCAAATCCAGCCTTCATTTTATGTATCCATGCCGGTTCACACTGGAGATGCACACGAACTGGCTCCGCGGTACTGTGTGATCCAGTTTTCAGCCCATTTTTTTTTTTTTATTAAATCGCACCAAAAGTAGTGCATGCATTGCTTTTAAAAGCACACTGTAACTGGATCACATGGTACTGTCTGATCCAGTGCAGGCCAAGACACTGTTTGCAATCTGTTTTGGGGTGTCTTTAGGAATACTTTGACACCCGAAGCAGATTGCACACTCAGTGCATTTTAAAGGTGGTACAGGAAATGCAAACAGAATGTGGGTTTCCCACACAGTGTTCTGGTGTGAACTGGCCCTTATGGTTGTCTACCACATTCTTGAAGCACATGTGCATTTCTAACCTCCAGAACTTGCACTATTCTTAAAATTTGAGGACAGGTTTAGAAACCGTGGATTACTGAAAACATAGGACAACTAGTGCAGGAAAAACTGACAACAACGAAAAGTTGTTTTTAACACCAAGAACCTCCTGTCAACAATATGCTATTTTGTGTGTACTGTATGTACGTTAATTTCCACACTTACTATGAAAAACAGCATTAACTTCTACATAAGAGTTGATCTGTGTTTTAAAAAAAATAAAAGCTAAATATAGCCAAGTAAAAACAGGGAAGCTTGACAAGTGTTCAACTGAATATTCATTGGAACAGAGAGCGTATTAATACAGTTCATACAGATCTATAATAAATGCATCTGTTAGAGACCACTCACACATAAGCACTTGTTTTTTTTTCTCCAACTCTCCACACAAGGGTTTCTGGGAAATTCTTACTGGTATTAAGTAATATATTCAGAGTGACATTTAGGGCCACACAATTCTGGGACTACCAGTGCTCTTTATTATTTTTATGCATGGCCTGCAATTTCATGTACTCTCCAAAAACAAGCGTCTCTAGTATTTTAAGGCTTACGGATTTTTTTTCTGGTTTTCCTCTGGCCATGACTGATCATTTTTATTTTATTTTTTTTTTTTTTATAAAAGACTGTACACTTCGAATGAAAAGTAGAGTTTATTCCATTTGACTAATCTGGAGAATGTTCAGGTTTTTAAGGGCATAGTATAGCTAGTCAGATGGATAAGATACTCCTGGTGCGGTTATTTTGGGAGTTTTAGGCACCACTTTTGACAATTGACCTCCAGAAGATTTCCCCCCCTTCATGACCAGGCCATTTTTTGCGATACGGTGCTGCCTTACAGCAGACGCAGTGCACTGGGGGCAGGCGTGCGCTCCCCTGTTGCGGAAATGGAAAATCATGTTTTATATGCACATGATTTTGCAGAGGACGTTCGTCCTGTAGCAGTAAATCTGACATAGGGTGGATGAAAGTGGTTAAAGTTAGCCCTTTTAAATTGAGCCCAGTAGTCTTGAAGTTATGGTGTTTGGTATACAGTGATATCAACCTCCAGCATGCCAGCAGTGTGGTAGGGATGCTCTGCAAAAACCATGGTCATAAAAGTACCCAGTGTTTAAATGTTTGTTAAATAAAGCTTGTGTATACGTAATGAAAAAGATATAAAAGATCAGTGAATAAACTTGTAAACTAAAAAATAAATGATTAAAGCCATTATAGTTCCTCTTAAGTTGATTCTAATGCTTCTTTAGGGAATTCTTCTGTAGCTTGTATTCTGCCTAAAACCATTACTGAATCATATCGAAAATATATGCAGAAAAAGCACATGATTTTCAGTTTTGCTTGGGTATTTCCCATACCAGCACACATTCACTCCTGAAAATTCTGGATATTTTAATCATGAAACCTTGCTTAGAATTTGCATCCACCAATCACAAAGCATAACCCGATGTTTTAGAGAACAGAGAAAATAAAATTTTTTTGTTGGTCTCGTGACCCTAGCAGTCATACTATATGTGGTAATGCTTCAGACCTCTTGGAACATAGGTGGCTACACTTCCTCATCAGAATGCTTTACCAATAGCAGGAAAAGCTGTTTCTTGAACCAATAAGTTTCCTCCCCTTCAAATTTGTCAAGATGCAGTGCTCTGGGTGGGCACAGGCTCAACATGATCTCAAAGCACCATGGGGAAAGACCATGTCTAGCCTGACCAAGCCATTTTTTGCTGTTTGGCGCTGCATTATTTCAACTGGTAATAGCACGGTTATGCAAAAATGGGCCAAAATGAAATCTGTCCTTTTTTTCACACAAATAGAGCTTTCTTTTGGTGATATTTGATCACCAATGGGATTTTTAATTGTTGTGATATAAATTAAAAAATAAATGAAAATGTTGGGGGGAAAAAGTTATATTCTATTTTATTCTAAAAAAAATATCCAATAAACTAAACTTTTGTCATAAATTTAAGCTAAAATATGTTCTGCTGCATGTATTTGGGGAAAAAAAAAAAATCCCAATAAGTATATATTGTTTTGTGTGAAAGTTATAGCATGTACAAACTGTGGTATAGATGCTGGAATTTATGCAGCTTTTGCATTCTGACTGCCTATCACATGCCTTGAGATACTAAACTGCCAGGGCAGTACAAAACACCCCCCCCCAAATGACCCCTTTCCGGAAAGTAGACATCTTAAGCTATCTGCTGAGAGGCATTTTGAGTCCATGGAAGATTTTTCCTTTTTTCCACAAGTTTTTGATGTCAAATTTTGTTTGTTTTTTACACAAAGTTTTCACTTAAATGATATATTGCTCACACATGCCATGGGTGTATGTGGAATTGCACCCCAAAATATAATCTGCTGCTTCTCCTAAGTATGGGGACGCCACCTGGTGAGATTGTTGGGGAGCCTAGCCGCATACAGGATCCCGAAATCCAATGACCCCTTTGAAAGCCTAAAGGTGTGTAATTTCCTCCTTTCACTTCCTTGCTACCTATCAACGTTTCGGAGGCTCTGAAACGCCAGGATAACAGCCTTTTTTTTTCTTTTCTTTTTTTCTTTTTCGTGTTTATTAAAAGAAGTTAGATAGTAATAGTACTTTATTTTCCGCTGCTTTCTTCCTTTTTATTGGTTAGTTCAGCTGAGAACACTGTTGACCAAAGTGGGAACTGCTTGCTACAAGCACAAGTGTACACTTAAGTGGAATGGAATGCGGGTTATGAGTGTATCAGGGGCAGAGACAAACACTCTGGCATTCAAGTGATTTCCTGCAGTTGTTCTCAGTGAAGCTGTGAATTTTAATTGCAAAAAATCCCCTACTATGACTTTTGGGATCAACTTCTTGCATTAATGATTAGAGCATTTCTAAACCGTTCTATATAGTAAGCCTGTTCAGTTACAGTTGGATAGGCCGCACAAAACATTAATTTGGTTTCTGCAATTCAGCTAGTATTAGAAGAATCCTTTTTCCTACTAATAGTCTGTAAGGAAGGGAAACGAAAGTAAAGGTGTTTCCCCTATTCAGTTTCTTTTATTTCCACCCTCTGCTTAATGTGTAATTCAAGACTTTTTTGCTTTAGATTTGGATAAAGTGGAAGTAGCTATCTGAGTCTACAGTGAGGAGATTTCCTTGCACGTTTCCTGATTACTGGTGCAACCTGGACAGCAAATGAGGGAAGATCTGAACAACAGGGACATGTGCAGCAATGCAAAACCTTTAAGGGGAAATTTGTTCAAGTGGGAGTAAACTCCCTTTTGTTTTGTACCTACAAGTAAGCTTATAATAAGACTTGCCTGTAGGTACAATAAATTTATCCTAAACTGGCTGATTGGTTAGCGCTTCCGCCTTGCAGTTATAGGGTCGTTGGTTTGAATCCAAACCATGGCACCACCTGACTGGAGTTTTCATGTACTTCCTGCGCCTGTGTGGAGTGTGGGAGGAAACCAGAGTACCCAGAGAAAACCTAAAGACATGCTGGTAGGTTAACGTCTTCGCGCCAGCCTCAAGCACGCAGATGTGCGGCCTCCCGGTGTCTGGGCCTTTATGCCGAGTGGCCGCACATTTGCATGTAATTAAGAAAACCATATGCGCTGAGAGCGCATGCCCTGTGTGCTCCCAGAACACATCCGGTACTCACAGAAAGGTCCCGATCTCCTCTTTCGATCAGGACCTTTCCCGATCATGTGACGGCAAATCACGGCGGTCACATGACCTTTAAACCCCGCCCTGCCTCCCGGCTTCGGAAACCCTGAAACTATAGGTCAGTGCCGGTTTTTAAATGTAATTACTGGCTTTTTCCTGGGTCCTCTTCCAGGACTGCTTTACAATGAGAGATAGGCTCCTCCCAGGAAATGGTCAATCCACTTTTTCCTATAAGTAGCCTCTCTCCTTGGGGAACCCTCAGTATTCGTGTTTCCTCCAGCCAGGAACAAGCCCTGGACACTACTCACTGGCTGTCTGGCGGGGGGTACAGAGGCTTCCTGGCTGGGGCCCCCCTTCCTCCTCTTTTCAGCAAGGCAGGGGCCTTGTAGGGTGGCCTTGGGAGAGACAGTGCACTCTGAGGGTCCTGCAGGGCTCTCCAGGGGGGTAGAGCCTGCTCCGCCGACCTGTTCGGAAGGACCGCTACTCTTTGGGGCAAAAGCCTACCTCCCACTGTAGGATGACATCTCCATAGGGGAATGAGGAGGCGCATGCAGGTGACGACACGTCCGCGTCATTTCCTGGACCCGCGTGCGTCACTTCCGGCGCTCGAACAAGAAGCGGAGCACTGCCATCTTGGAT